TGTCTTTGCTTAAAATATTTTTGTGGTCCCCAACATAAATTAGAAATTCCAATAAGAACAATAAGGACACTAGAGAGTCTCCCGGTGTCTGCTCTATGCGAGGCAACAGCACATATTCCTGCATTAACCCCTGCCTGCCAGGAGCAGCACTGTGCAGGGCAGAGCAGGCAGGACCATGACCGGGAGCTTGGCTTGGGCACCCCATAGCCCTGGTTTGAATCCCGCATCTGCTGTTTTCCGCTTGGTGTGATCTTGGCAATTCCTTTCTGGTCTTTGTGCTGCTTTGGTGCTTCTTTTTTTTTTTTTTTTTTTTTTTTAAAGCCAGTCAAATTGCTTTGGTGCTTCTATGTGCAAACTGGGGAAACAGCCAAACCTTCCCAAGTTGCTGTGAGGATGAAGTGGGTTGATCTGTGGGCTTGACACAGTGTGAATACCAATCAAGTATGGTCATGAAGGTACCAATGAATGGCACTTGCCGGTGAAGGTAAGCATCATTATTGTCATCCTGAGATACGCCAGAAGGTGGCTGCTGTTAGATCTAAACCTGTGCTCTGCACTATGCCACGATCTTTGCATAAGAAGTTATTTTTGTGAGACTCTCGGCTTGTTAAATTCAATAAAACCAGTGTAATCCATTCTAGTTCCGGTATTTTGAAGCTAGATTTCCTGGCCTTGAATCCTAGCTCTATCACTTACTGTGAGACCTCAAAAAGCTGAATATCTCTCAGTTTCCTCCTCTGCAAGGTGGGAATTATGATAATATTAACACCTATCACATGGGATTATTGTAAAGATAAATGAACGAATGTATGAAAAGCCCATTTACACATTACGAATGCTCAATACATTTTGGCTATTATTAGTAGTAGTAGTAGTATTTGAGACAGAGTTTCGCTCTTGTCACCCAGGCTGGAGTGCAGTGGCACGATCTTGGTTCACTGCAACATCTGCCTCCCGGGTTCAAGCAATTCCCTTGCCTTAGCTTCCCAAGTAGCTGGGACTACAGGCGCCCACCACCACGCCCAGCTTTTGGCTATTATTTTTTTGACTCTTTTCTTTAGACCATTCTCCTTTGTCTGCCTTTTTGCTAGGGATAATCATTAAGGTCAAGGATACATTAATCCACTTTCTAGAGCATAAGCTTGAGGCTGGAGGGGAACCGTCCCACATATGATGGAAGCAGGAGATGTTCAACAAATCAAAACAATGTTTTCAATCTGTTTATTACCTCTTCCAGAAATAACAAACATGTCATTAAAAAAAATCCTTGTTCAACAATGCTTAGGAATGTCAAGAAACTGCTTGGCTCTTCGAGAAGAGACTGAGCACTGCAAAAATATTTGCTCAGCCCTCATTGGTGAGAGCATCAGAATCCTCAGTCATCACCACACGGGCAATCCCAGCCCAAGAAAGGCCCGTACGGCCCCGACCATGCTTGGTTCTGGACAGTGCGCCAGGGGCTGGGGAACTTAGGCCCTCTCTGTGCATCTTTGGTTCATATACATAATACAGAATATGGGAAAATAAAGAAGATTTTTTTGCATTATATTTAGTTCCGTGTGTATGATAATGTCCACATTTTAATTTGTAATTAAAAGGCCAGGATAAAGAACATAGAATTAATATTACAAATATTTTCTCCAGTTAAGGAAAATATATTCATTGTTAGAGTGAAAAGTTTAACAATTTAAAATAAGAATCTCGATCCTGTGAAATCTATTTGTGCTTTGCTTTGCTTAATTGAAATACAACTAATAGCATTTGTAAGCCTAACAAAGTATCACGTGAAGTTAATCAAGAGAGTACCTTCTAGAAACTTAGAATACAGCCATAAGCAGACAGTTATGGTACAGCTTCAATGTTGTACCAAATAAGTTTTTCTTAATGGTGACTATTGTAATTGCTTTGTCAAAAACAGACAACAACAAAATAAAACACACTAATAAAACATCTAACGATCGTTATTGGAACATACCTTCCCTTGCTGTGTACTCATTATCTTCAATTACTCTAGCAAGGCCAAAATCTGCGATTTTGCACATGAGTGACTCAGAGACCAGGACGTTAGCCGCTCGAAGGTCCCGGTGAATGTAATTCTTCCGCTCGATGTACGCCATTCCCTCTGCAATCTGGAAACAGAAACAGATTCTCATTTTCATAGGTAGGATAGGTGATTAAAAAAGCCATCAAGGAAAATCAGAAAAATTATGAGTTCCTCAAATCTTTTCATGTATACTATTTTGATTACTCAGGTTTTAAAAATGGCAATTTAAAACCTGAATGATTAAAATATCATTGGTGATTGCCTGGTAATGGCAATCACCATTTAAGCTCTTTCTTTTTTTTTTTTTTTTTTTTTCAGGAAAATTACTAGAATTTATTTTTTAAAATACTGACCACATGATATCTCGTGTGTGTGTGTGTGTGTGTGTGTGTGTGTGTGTGTGTAAGTCATTCAGACACTACATGAAAATCTGGCAATTGTCGATTGAACAGATCGATGGAAAGGAAAACCAAGATCAGTTAAGACCCTAAGTGAACTTTTTGCCTTAATTTTAAGTAAATCTGTTTGCCTAACAAAACAATATGAAAGTTCTTTGTACTTCTATTCAAAAGTAGGGAGTCTAAATAGGCCTATCACAAGTAAATAAATTTCATTAGTAATCCAAATCTTCCAACATAAAGAAGCCTAACTGATCACACCCTCCCCCCCAAATCTCCAATAATGGTAATCTTTAAAAAAAAAAAATTAGCAACATGTCCTAACATTTTTTAATGTGCGAAGAATCTTTTTAAGACCCTGCTAGGCCGGGCGCGGTGGCTCAAGCCTGTAATCCCAGCACTTTGGGAGGCCGAGGCGGGTGGATCACGAGGTCAAAAGATCGAGACCATCCTGCTCAACATGGTGAAACCCCGTCTCTACTAAAAATACAAAAAATTAGCTGGGCATGGTGGTGCGTGCCTGTAATCCCAGCTACTCAGGAGGCTGAGGCAGGAGAATTGCCTGAACCCAGGAGGCGGAGGTTGCGGTGAGCCGAGATCGCGCCATTGCACTCCAGCCTGGGTCACATGAGTGAAACTCCGTCTCAAAAAAAAAAAAAAAAAAAAAAGACCCTACTAAATTCATCCGTGTAGATATAGATGTCATTATGCCAGTTTTTCAAATCAGAAAAACAGATGCTATGGTCTGAATGTTTGTGTTCCATTCCCTTGCCCACCTACCCCAAAGTTCAGATGTTGCAATCCTGACCCCCAAGGCAATAGTATTAGGAGGCAGGGCTTTGGCAGGTGATTAGATCATGAGGGTGGGGCCCTCACAAATGGGATAAGTGCCCTTGTGAAAGAGACGTCAGAGAACTGCCTTGCTCCTTCCACCATGTGAGGACACAGCTATATGGTGCCATCTATGAACCAGGAAACGGTCCCTCATCAGACAGGAAACCTACCAGGGCTTTCCTCACCCCCCAGAACTGTGGGAAATAAATATCTGTTGTTTAAGCCACCCAGTCTATGGAATTTTGTTATGGCAGCCTGAACCAACTATGAAAATAGAGTTGGAGAAAGTGACATGCTAATATAAATGTATTATTGAGGTATCAAGAACAGAGTGTCCTTTCTGTCAGGTTAATCGACAGCCCATAAAACTGGTTCTCCGAGTTCTCTCTGTACATTTCCTCCAGGATGATCACAAAGATTCACTCTTTTTTTTGTGTGTGTGTGACAGTCTCACTTGTGTCCCCCATGCTAGAGTACAGTAGTGCAATCTCAGCTCACTGCAACCTCCTGCCTTCTGGGTTCAAGTGATTCTCGTGACCCAGTCTCTCGAGTAGCTGGAATTACTGGTGCTTGCCACCATGCTTGGCTAATTTTTGTATTTTTTAATAGAGACGGGATTTCACCAGGCTGGTCTCAAACTCCTGGCCTCGGATGATCCACCCACTTAAGCCTCCCAAAGTGCTGAAATTACAGGCATGAGCCACCATGCCTGGCAAGATTCACTCTCATGACTTCCACTTGGAACCTCCACCTTCCGGGTTCAGGCGGAAGTATGACAGCAGGAAAGAATCCAGGATTTAAACACAACAATAACACAGGGAGGCAAAACAACTACTCGTTGCTGAATAGAAAGTGTGGTATCCTTCCAAAATCAGGTTTTTAAGGAAGACATTACCAAATGATAAAGTTAAGGAGAAGGAAGGAAGAAAAAAGAAGGAGGAAAAGGAGGATGAGAGAAAGCAAGCAAGGAAAGAAGGAAGGAACAAGGAAACAAAGGAAGGAAACAAGAAAGGAGAGAGAAGGAAGGGAGGGAAGGAGGAAACAAGAAAAAGGGCAAGAAGGAAAGAAGAAAACCAAGTAGTAGCGTATCTGGTAAGCAGTTAGAGAAAACTCTGATTCGAATTTTTCACACAGCAACGGATGTATTCTGCCAGACTCTACCTTGAAAGGCAGGTGGCTTGGCTTGGAGGGTCTGACTTTCCGCAGTCATCCGTGGCAGCATCCGTGGTTATCATGCAATTCAGGCTGCCAGTTCCAGACCACATTGCTTAACAAAAGATTAGCTCCTTGCTATTGAGTCTGCCTTTCCCTCCCCTCTAGGCCAATCCCCGGCCTCATCTTCTGCCCAGTGGGGCCTTCTCTGAACTCACCTTTATGCGCCCTAGATGGTCAATGTACATAAACACCTCCAGGGCTGACGATATCTTTTTTTTTTTTTTTTTTGAGACAGAGCGTGGTGCAATCCCAGCTTGCTGCAACCTCTACCTCCCAGGTTCAAGTGATTCTCCTGCCTCAGCCTCTCGAATAACTGGGACAACAGGCATGCACCACCATGCCTGGCTAATTTTTTATATTTTTAGTAGAGATGGGGTTTTACCATATTGACGAGGCTGGTCTTGAACTCCTGACCTTGTGATCTGCCCACCTCAGCCCCCCAAAGTGCTGGGATTACAAGCGTGAGCCACCACGCTGGGCCTGAAGATATCTTTTCTATTCTCACTTGTACACATTAGAACCTTCAAACTTGTCACCAAATCTCTTCTCAAAGCCAAAGTCAGTCCTTTGGGAAATGGGCTGAAATTTTCATACGACCAGAATACTACCTTGTTAGCCCACCACTGCAGGGATTTGGCAGATGACATTCTCATGATCACAAAAATCTCAAGTGAAATAATCAGCGTGCCCTACATCAGTCTCAAAGACTATTCAGCCCAGAATTTCACTTCTGAGTGGAAACAAAGAATGTGGTCGAAGCTCCGCTGTACTGCTGCCAAGGCCCTGTGTGACCCGGCCCCCACTCAGCTCTCCACTGCCTCACCATGACCCCCTCCTTCCTGCTTCGAGCACCTGCCTCTGCTTGGAACGCTCACTCCCTGCCCCTTTCACCCGACCTACACAGTCTGCATGTCTCAGCTGCATGGACCCAAGGCAAGTGTCACTGACAGCAGGGGGCTTGATTTCAGGAGTAACCTCAGAAGTGGGACAGGGGCTGAGGCTGAGCAGAGCAGAGCAGAAACCAGACAGACAGCAGGAAAAGGCCAGGGCACGTTTGGAAAGCAGTTGCTTCGTGTCCCCTCCCTTTCTCCCAACTGTCACAAACCCTGGGCATTGGGGAGATGCACAACTTTTACCTGACCCTGGAAAAGATTCAAACAGCCTCTATAGGAAGTCAACAGAAGGTGGGCAGTGGTGACAACGCAGGTGATTACAGAGCTCCTCTGAGTCTGTGACTTTCTCTAGAAGCCTCTGCTGCCCAGAAACAGCAGGGAGTGGCGTGGTGAGGGCGGCAGGAAGCTCAAGATAGCTCCTTCTAGAGAGGGCAGTACTGAAGCGGTTGACACGGGGTGGCAATTTTGGTGGCAGCTGGGGGCAAGGAGCCCTGCCTCTGTTTCCCTTTGTCTGCTGGTAACCCAAGTTCAACAAGACTTGTTAGAAAGAGCCAGTAAAACTGGGAAAAGGGGAGAGTGAAGATCAGACTGAGCATGTGTGGAAGAAAGGAATGTACGATTTTAACAAAATAGGCTTTTGGCAATAGAGCCACAATGCCTGGTTCAAACAGACCAGACTTGGCTACAGGAGCCCGGATGAGACAGCAACAACTGAGCGGTCATAGCCGACACTGTCCTTGCCTCCCTGCTCCACACCATGATAGTGCAGCCTTGAAAAATTCTTACTTCTTAGATACTTATCTAACATTCCAATAATTATACATAAACTGGGCCAAGAACCCAAAGAAGCCAAAGCTGGCTGAAGTCCCAAATTGGGCCTGAAACCGCATTTGACAATATCAACCAGGAAACTGTGCTGGCCCCTCTCCCAAGGCTGCTGATTGGCCACACAGGTGGGTGTGGTGGCAGGGACCCAGCCTCCCACACAGCAGCAAGGACACACACGGCTCACCTTCTTGGTAACAGATTTTGATGATCAACTCATTACAAAAAGCACTCCAGGGACTTGTTAGGCTGTTTTTTTTTTGAGCTGGAGTCTTGCTCTGTCGCCAGGCTGGAGTGCGGTGGTGCGATCACAGCTCACTGCCACCTCTGCTTCCTGGTTCAAGCGATTCGCATGCCTCAGCCTCCTGAGTAACTGGCACTCCAGGCATGCACCACCACTCCCAGCTAATTTTTTGTATTTTAGTAGAGACGGGGTTTCACCATGTTGGCCAGGATGGTCTTGATCTCCTGACCTTGTGATCCACCCGCCTCAGCCTCCCAAAGTGCTGGGATTACAGGCGTGAGCCATCGTGCCCGGCCATTAGTAAGGCTTTTTATCACACCTACCCACATCCTATATTGGCATATATCTGAGTACATTTAAAAAAATGATTCTCAGAAATAATAACAGACTTGCAACAAGCCTAGTGTATTTCATCCTTCTTTTCCATGCCAGAGTGCTTGAAGGTGCTCAGATTCCAAACAGTAGTAAATGCATTCACCAAGGCAAGATTAGAAACAATAGCATTAGCCAAGTTGAATAAACAACGAATATGGGGGCAAAATTAAAGCTCTCAGATATGACTTCGTTTTCAGATCATAAATATCACAACTCTCCTCTTACATAAAATTCATTCACTCTCTTTATTCTTTCCCTGGTCTGTGTGTATTGTTCTTTCTTGGTTTCTTTTTTAAAAATCTTAGTTTGTTGTTGTTGGAGGTGGTGTATTCACTATGGCTACAGTAAATCCAGCTCCATTTGAAACAGGAGGAAGAAATCAGAGACTACTTTGGCTGATTGAATGTAGGGTCAACTTTTCATGGAATACCTTCTTCCTCTTCCAGGGCCCTGGAGCGTTCGGCACCGTAGAAAAAGCTGTCACATAAATACATGAACCAAAGCCCAGCTGTCCCCAGGGACTCCCACTTCCTATTGTTCCAGCAGCTTGGAAAGCCTGACTTCTGAGGGAGTTACATGGAGTTGGTTAAGCTTGATGACAAGAGGATGTGTTTGATTCAGAAGATTGTTTAGTTGTTTTGTGCCCACAGACATTTGACTGAAATGATGATGATAGGTAGGTGGGTAGGTAGATGGATATTAATAACCACCATTTCCCACCACTAATTGAACACCTACTATACACCAAACAGTGCTTCACATCCTTTACACTCAATTCATGTTGCATCTTAACCGTAAATTGACCAGTAAGGTTTTACTTCCATTTTACAGATGCAAATGAGGTTTTGAGAAATTAAAGGAAAGGTCGAAAGCCACAGAGTGAAGGAGAATGCTCCCATTTACACGAGGTGTGTCTGACCTCAAAGTCCGTGCGCCTGACACCACACTCCAGAACGTCAGGCCCGCAAGATAGCTCAGTACCAAGAGATAACGGAATGCTTCTGGAACCCAAAGATTTCATTGAGAGAGTGCATCTTCTCTGAAGGGATAAAAAGAGACTGCTGAGCTTTCCTCTCACTGTTGTTAAGTCCAAACGTCACCCCTCAGACAGGGACTCAGAAACCAACTCCTGGCTCCCATTTCAGGAAGTACATGCAAAGCTTTGTGTTGGTCGTCTCTGTCTAGAACAGTGTTTCTCAACCTTGTTTTATCATTCCTCTAGGAAGATTCACTGAATTAAAATTTTAATTAAAGTTAATGTGTCCTTAACAGGAGAAATTAAATATGAAGAAAGAAGGTTGACTTAGGTAGGTATGAACTCTGGATGGCCACAGACTATTGTAATGTCTAAGATTTCCTCACCCCTCAGGGATCAATTTTTGCTCCCTTGGGGACAATCTCACTGCCATTGCAGATGCATGATGCTATGGTTGGAATGTGTCCCACCAAGTTCATGCTGAAACTTAATCTCCAATACAATCTTACTAAGAGGTGGGGCTTTTAGTAGGTGATTGAGTCTGAGAGATCCTTCCTCATGAATTGGATTAAGGCCCTTATAAAAGAGGCTTCACACAGAGTTTGAGCCTTTTTTTTTTTTTTTGCCCTTCCACATTCTTCCATGTGAGCACACAGAAAGACGTACCTCGCCAGGCGCTGTACCTACTGGCACCTTGATCTTGGACTTCCCAGCCTCCAGAGCTTGGAGTTTGAGAAGCACAGCACTAGATCACAGGCTCGATCGCTTAAGCTAGTTTAGGATTGCAACAAAATCTTAGTCTCCACATGTTGCCTTTGAGCAACCTCATAGGTGGACTGCTGTCTTCATAATGCTTGGGGAAGAAGGCTGCATGCAACTGAGCTTAACAAAAAAAGGAGCAAGGCGTGCAGGGCCAGCATAAGGAGCCCAGGCCAGGGAGGAGGAGGCTCCATAGGGAGCTGGGGTGAGGGAAGCGGCAGGTGAGGAAGGTACCAAAACACCTTGGTAGAATTTCTAGTCCACCAACACTTTGAAACACATGGCTTGAACTTGTTTTTCCTGCAAGTCAGGCCAGGACCTTGTGGGCCTCATGGCTCGGAGGCAGGGGATATAGTGTCAGGCCCAGCTCCTCTCCCTCTCTCTCATGGCTCTGGGGCTGGAGCCATTACTCACAGGGCTTGGGAAACCAATTCAATCTTTTGGTTCTAAACCAAATGAGGAGATTCTCTTCCTCTTGGGCCATGTGATTCTCTTCATCGTAATGTCAGGCCCAGAGGTGAACAGAGACAAGAAAACCCCAACTTCCTAAACCACCTGCAGACACCGAAGAACTAATTTAAACTGTCTCTTTCCTCCAGTGCTGATGTCTAACTCTGTCTGAGAGAGCTGATATGTGAAGCTACTGGAAATCTGGAATAAAAAGCATCCCCATTACCTAGAATGAGACTAATCATGTAGACAGGCGATGTCAGTGAGGTTTCCAAACCCCTGACTTAGGCTATGTGCTGGTGTTTCTTGTGCTCTTCGGCTCAAATAGCATGGCTGACGCACATTATTTTAGTTCCTCTTTTTGTACCTTCAGTGAAAACATATGACGGTATTTTCTACCTTTGCTGTTTTTGTGTTTTTCATTTTCATTTTAAAAACGCGGTTTACTGGGCACAGGGATAAGGGAGCTTCTGGGGGTACATTGTGACCAAAGCTCTGAGTGTGGAGCAAGGTGGGTGTTTCCTGAAAATGCCTATGGCTGAGCCAATGACACAGAAGACTGTGCTAAGCCCACTGCTGTCCCTGGAAGAGGCACAGAACCACTGGGCAAAGAGCAAATTCTAGAGGTGGGGGGTTCTGGTGAAACTCCTGGTATCTTGTACCCAGTGAAAAGTCTAGGTACACAGAACAGATTAATAATTATGCTTCCTGAGTTAACGGACAGCCTTATCTTGTTTGATGCTGGATAGATAGACTTCCAGTCTTCCAGAGCGGCCTTTCTTTCTTTTTTTTAATATAATTTTTTTTTTCTTTTTTAAAGATGGGGTTTCACCATGATGGCCAGGCTGGTCTTGAACTCCTGAACTCAGGTGATCCACCCACCTTGGCCTCCCAAAGTGCTAGGACTACAGGCATGAGCCACTGTGCCCTGCCTAGAGCGGACTTTCTAATTAATGTATAGTGAGAAGAAAAGGAGTTAGTCACCAAGTGTCTGCCTCTTCTTCCATTGCCAATCAGCTGAGCAGATGCCTTCCACAGGTCAAGGCTTTGAGGCAGCTAGAGGCACACGTGGACCAGAGAAAGAGAGAAGTAAGATCTTACCCAACGTTCTGACCCCAAAGGGGCAGGACTTTCTCTCCCACTGCTGGTGTGAAACAGGAAGTGTCAACTCTTCAACAGAGATACCCTCGGGGCCACAGCAGGTGAGAAAAGATGCCGCTTCCTCCAGGTGGAGGCGACCCAGCTGTCAGGGCTGGTGGCAAAGTGGGATCAGGGATGGACCTCAGATCCCAAGCAGCATCTCAGAGGCCACTATGGACACGGCTGCTTAACTCGACATGGTAGTGCAGCCAGTGTGTCTCTATTTGTTGGTATATTCACACCTAGTATGATTTTACACACGCAGACATCCTTACATAAGCACACACTTACGCGGGGTAGGGTGGGGACAGAATACAACATTTAGAGTCCGATTTACTTTGCAAATAACTTTTTCCCCAGGGCATGATGTTGAAAATACGTAAACCAAAATTAAAATTCTAAGCCCCCTAACCAACTGGGTGGACCCTCCTCTTGGCCCAGGGGATTTCAAAGAAACCTGAAAAACTAGTTCAGGCCATGATGAGAGGGGAAACTGGACACGACTCATTATGCCCTTCTCGCTTTTGGAGTGCAGACACCAATGACCAGCATTAACATTAAAATAGAGATCCTGAGACTGACCGAACAGAGTCTTCATGGCAATAAGACACCAAATTCCAACCAGACTCTAGTATAACATCACATGACACATAACAGGTTCTAAAGGAGATCAAAGTATTTTACTTTAAAATATATTTCTTACACATATTTTGAAACGGCCCTACAAAGCCATTTCTTATGGGGGAAATTTACATTCTCTAGAGAATCCGTCTCCCTTTCCAGGTCCTTTCCTGATCCGGGAGAAATTTAACTGACACCTTTTAAGGTCCAATAAGAGACATTCACATCTGTTCTCTCTGAGGCCTGCTACCTGGAGGTTTCATCTATGTAATAAGAACCTTGGCTTCGATAACCACCACTCCCCATATCTTAACTCAAGCTTATTATAACTCTTCGGGCACAGCTTAATTCTTTTAACCAATGGCCAATCAGGACTTTTTTTTCTTTTTCTTTTTCTTTTTTTTTTTTTTTGAGGCAGAGTCTCACTCTATGGCCCAGGCTGGAGTGCAGTGGCATGACCTCAGCTCACTGCAACCTCTACCTCCTGGGTTCAAGTGCTTCTCCTGACTCAGCTTCCCAAGTAGCTGGGATTACAGGTGCCCAGCACCATGCCTGGCTAATTTTTGTATTTTTAGGGTACAGACAGCATTTTGCCATGTTGACCAGGCTGGTCTCAAGCTCCTGACCTCAGGTCATTCACCCACCTTGGTCTCCCAAAGTGCTGGGATTACAGGCAGAAGCCACTGTGCCCAGCCAGTCAGGAAATTTTTGAATCTGCCTATGGCCTGGAAGCCTCCCCTCCCAGCTTCAAGAAGTCCCGCTTTCCTGGGCTGAACCAATGTACCCCTTACGTGTACTGATTTATGTCTTTGCCTATAACTTCTGTCTTCCTAAAATGTGTAAGATCAAGCTGTATCCCAGCCACCTTGGATACATGTTTCCAGGACCTCTGGTGGCTGTATCATGGGCCATGGACCTCAACCTTGGCAAAATAAACCTCTAAATTGCTTGAGGCTTGTCTCAGATACTTTTCCGTTTGGTTAAATCAGACCAAAGTTTTAGAAAGATTGAGTGGAGTGCACTCATTTAAATTCCCTCTCCTCTAACAGTGTGAAAGTAGAAAGTAAGTTGCTATTTCCTGAATGGGGAGTGCCCATGTGAGCAGGCTCAGCAGGCCCCATCCACAGGCACCTGCCTGGACATCCCCGAGGAAAGGCAACTGGTCTCTCCCTCCTGAAGGACTGCAGCTTTGCATCATCAGACATACCCACTGAGAAGTGAGTTGCCTGTGACCACACCAGAGATGGGAAATTCCTAACCACCAAGGCCCTAGGTAATGTATCAGATGGACTTTTTTTATGTGGATTCATTGGAGAGGGAAATCTCAGTAACGTTTTACAAACCCAAGCAGAGCTCAGCTAATGCCCCTGCCTAGTGGATTCCTAGTGATGACCATCCAGGTCACTCATCTTTTCCTGCTTTTCTCAAAGGCCCAATGAGAAGTCTGTGAACCCCAGCACCCCACGAAGTGAAACTGGCTTCCAGCAAGCTCCCTCCCACCCAAGGCGCAGGCTCTGAGCCGTCGCCAGCCTTCTTGGGCATATGCCCTGTGCTCAGCGCACATACCCGGCTGCTACCAGCAGAGAACATGAGCAATGCTTTGGACAAATAATGAAGTGCTGTGTGGATGACCTCACTCTGGAACTCTTGCTTTAGTGCTCCTCTGTTCATCCTAATTACTATTGATTTTCTGAGAAATTGGCAAAGACAGGCAAGGCTATCGTGCTCGGTGAGTTTTTTTTTTTTTTTAATTTAATGAGAAGAACCCACATTTCTGTCCAATGACTGAGGGAAAAAAGGAATCAAAGGAACCTCACTGAGGGGCTAAATGTGATCTCTCAAGCAAAGCTAAATCTACCCCAGGAAATTCCAGCCTAAATGAGAAACTGGAACTGAAAACGCAACCTGGCTTAGAATTGGCTGCTTGGAAAACATTTGTCATCTAGACAAGCAGTGAGAAAAATTAAATGAGAAACCTATCAAAAAGCAGGAAAAATGAATATCTGATTTTCCTGATGCTTTACGTGTTCTAGTAGGCACTGATTGTCTCACTGTCTAGGGATATGTTGTCTTCCTATGCTTGAGATAAAGAAGAATTCACATAATTAATGATGCCCAAAAGCCCTAGGAAGCCTATAAAATAACAATATTAATAAGTCGGAACGGAAAAATTCGCAATTGAGTAAAACCTAGTCTCTCTAAAGGATTTTTTATGACTGGAAGCCCCTGGAGTCAATCCCAAACTGACCTAAAAAGACCATTTAATGCCAGCAACAGAAAAACAGAATGTAAAAACACACTCACATACAACAGGGAGTCTGCAAAGAGAAAGTTTAAGAACACATCTCGTCTGTACTACAAATACAATGGCGTTTGTTTTCTGTCCCTCCAGTTGTCACAGAAACACTTTTCTACTGTTAATATTCATTGATTCCCCAATACTAGACCCCTCTAATCTTCAGTCCATAATTTGGATGGAGGAGAGGGATGGAACAGAGAGCTCATGCATTCTTGTTTATACTTTTTGGGATCACCATTTTTTGGAAATTTTATTTGAACTTCATTTGGTTATCATAAGAGTCTCCTTTTCCAAGAAAAACTGCTAAGAAATAGTGAAATCTATACTTTGATGATGATAGCTACCATGGATTAACTCCTACTTGCCCAGGCAGCGTGCTAGGTGTGTTCATCGTTAAAACAAGCCCATGAAGTAGGTTACATACTTCTCACTACTATGAGGAGGAAGCTGAGTTTTGGAGAGGCTACAATCTCTTTAAAAGGCCAGGATTCCAACCCAAGTCTGGCTGGTCCAGGCTTCAAAGCCTGTGCTCTTTTTTTTTTTTTTGTTCATTCATGTATTTATTCCACAGTCAAAATAAGTCATAATTTAAAGTATAACATTTTTAAAAGATAAAGGAGAATTTGCGGCAAAGCTGTATTAATAAAACAGACACCAGTCTAAAGTGCAGCACTAAGCAGGTGTTCTCTGTTCCCGTGGCGGAATAAATACACACACAACTACACGTAAGATTTCACTGAAGACAGGAGATGAGGCAAATAACCCTTTGAAATGAACTGCCCAATGAACAGAATCAGGTTACAAATAATTTCTTTTAACATCTTACTGCAAAATGGAAAAAAATCCCCGAGGTGACTACAAACTCGAACCCCTCACTTCATCCACATGGCCTTGGCTTCTGTATTCTTTCCACAGCCACATCCAAATCCAGAAAGGCTTCTGCACCCCATGCTCAAAAAATGCAACCTCAAGTCCCTGAGGCACAGACTGACATGAATGAATCTGTGTGCAACTTTGATCCAGACCCTCCAGGGAAATCAGGACCACAACCACAGAGCACGACACCGTTTCTTTAAACAATAGCTTTAACTGTGGAATGAACTCTGACAAGCCATATGCATTTCATAAACAAACCAAATTATCATCTTTGTATCTTCCTATTTTTCTTGCATTTTTAAAAATGTTAAGCCATCCAAGTTAAAAAAAAAAAAATTAACGATGAAAAAGGAAATTCAAAGGGTTTATGCCAAAAAAACAAACCGGTCCTCTGCAGTCTAACTCATTTTCTGGGCTGCGCAGCCATGTAGCGGGCGATCAGGCAGGAGATGGTCCCTCCCACAGTCAGCGCCATGACGGTCAGGTAGAGCATTTGGTCAGGCAGGCCTCGTTTTAGGTAGATGGGCACACTTTCAGCTTTTGGAAAAACTTCTGCAGCTCTGGAACTCTGTTTTCCCCAGCATAATCATACACTGTGGAATCGGGGGTCAGTTTAGTTGGTGTGGCAAATATGATCGGTGGTGCTTCTGTGGGAACCGCAGGCTTTAATCCCTCTGGGATATAGGTCTCCGAAGCCCATGCTCCCACCAACTTCTGCGTGAAGCCACTAAATTTGTAGTACATGACGCCCGGACTCTGGCTTCCCGCATCCGCTGCCTGCGCAACTGTCCCAGAGAAGCACCTGTGCTCTTAAACATTCATCCACACTGGCTACTTCATTTAAAAAGAAAGGATTTGAGCAGGGCGCGGTGGCTCACACCTATAATCCCAGGGCTTTGGGAGGCGAAGGTGGGTGGATCACTTGAGGCTAGGAGTTTGAGATCAGCCTGACCAACGTGGTGAAACCCTATCTCCACTAAAAATATAAAACTTAGCCAGGTGCAGTGCCACATGCCCAAAATCCCAGCTATTTGGGAAGCTGAGGCAGGAGAATGCTTCAGGAGGTGCAGGTTGCAAGACAAGATCTTAACACTGCACTCCCGCCTTAGTGACGAGTGAGACTCTGTCTCAAAATAAGTAAGTAAACAGGAAAGATCATTATTATTATTATTATTATTTGAAATGTAGTCTCACTCTGGAGTGCAGTGGCCCAATCTGGGCTCACTATAACCTCCGTCTCTGGGGCTCAAGCAATTCTCGTGCCTCTGCCCCCTGGGTAGCTAAGACTACAGGTATGTGCTACCCTGCCCAGCTAATTTTTTGTATTTTAGTAGAGACGGGGTTTCACCATGTTGCCCAGGGTGGTCTTGAACTCCTGAGCTCAGGCAATCTGCCTGCCTCGGCCTCTGAAAGTGCTGGGATTATAGGTGTAAGCCACGCGCTCGGCCAAAGATTCTTTTTATTCTACTCAAATAGAATGCTCACCAAGTTGGCAGTGGAAAAAAGGAGGCAAAAAGAAATAAGAAAACCAGGTAATTTTAAAAATGGTCAACTTAGGCTGAATGCGGTGGCTCCCACCTGTAATCTCAATGCTTTGCGAGGACAAGCAGGAAAGATCGCCTGAGCTCAGACCAGCCTGGACACAAAACAAGGCCCCATCTCTACAAAAATTTTTAAAAATTAGCCAGGTGTGGTGGCACATCTTGTAGTTTCAGCTACTTGGGAAGCTGAGGCGGGAAGATTGCTTGAGCCTAGGAGTTTGAGGCTGCAGTGAGCTATGATCATATCATTGCTCTTAGCCTAGGACAACAGAAAGGGACCCTGTCTCTAAAATAATAATAATCATAATAAACAGTTAAGTTAAAGCTTGCTGTCTGTTAGACTACCTTCATAGCTCAAAGATGAGGCAGCGTTTGGCACATCCAAGCTTAGGGCTGGTGGAGATTTCGGCACTGCTCAAAATCTAGTCAATCCAGCAGCATGCAAGGACCCGCAATGCCTTAGGACAGATAATTTTCAAAATGACAGCTTCACCAAATACCCATATTTAAATCAGTAAGTGTCCACGAAACAGAATTACTTTCTTTAGACAACAGGAAGTTTGTCAATGAATACTCATTTATCTTCTCTTGCAAAAACTCACTGGACTATTTCATTGGGATGGATATTTCAAAACTCACTGGACTACCCCTTAAGATGGATATTATCAAAACCCAGAAAATAATAAGCGTTAGTGAGGATGTGGAGAAACTGGAAATCTCACGCACTGTTGGCAGGAATACAGCTGCTTTTTGTAACGTCACTAGGATGCTATGCCATGTGTACTCCCTTAGTATACATATAAGGTATGGTTTTCATAGTTTTGGGGATTCTGGTGGGTTTTTGAGACAGGGTCTCACTCTGAGGCCCAGGATGGAGAATGGTGGCAGGATCACAGCTCACTGTAGCCTCAATCTCCAGAACTTAAGCAATCCTCCCACCTCAGCCTCCTGAGTAACTGGGACCACAGGTGCTCACCGCACACCAAGGTAATTTTATTTATTTTTTTGTAGAGATGAAGTCTCACTATGCTGCCCAGGCTGGACTCGAACTCCTGGGTTCAAGTGATCCTCCTGCCTCAGCCTCCCAAAATGTTGGGATTACAGGTGTAAGCCACTGCGCCTGGCCACTCTTAGTTATATTAAAAGACTGAAGGTCAAGGTATCTCCATTGAGAACTGACATTCCCCGCTTCCAGCCAATCACACACAGTCCTGCCTGTACACCAGGAGCCCCACACAGTTACAAGTCTGCTAAACAGTCCTTGTCTGCAGAGTTTACTCTCTAATGGGGGAAGACAGAAAAAAATAATTCAGCAAAGGAATATACACCATGTCAGATAGCTGAGAAGAAGAACATACATAGCAGGCAGCTGTGCTATATTTCAACTAAGACAAAATACCTTCAAGAACCTGACGTGTTATTCTGAAAACAACTCCTGTACAAGGCCAGCGCCTGAGCTCTGAAAACAGTCCCTGACTTATTTGTTCTGTGACAAACTTAAAGGAAGTCTGAACAAGATCTAGTAAGTTCCAAATATACCTGAAACAGATTTGCTATCATCTTTATTTATATTTCAACCCCTTTGAAGTACGTTTTCAAAATACTGTGTGTTTACGAGGGAAGCCTGTGATGTCTGCCCTCTGTGGCTGCTCCTGCGTTTTCCTTTTCCTAAGGATGTGGGCGCAGGAGCGGGCGGGCGGGGCTGCAAGGGCTGAAGCTGAGCAAGAAGCAAGGTCAAGCATTTTGCTCACCAGGTAGGACTTGTCCATGCCCAGTGATTTGGACAAACAATTCCTGGGCTTCATCCAGTTAGAGCAGTGAGAGAAATATAGATCCTCCTCAGCACGGCAGCTCTTTAATGGGAAAAGCAGTATTCCCCTGCAAGATGTGTGACCTAGAAAAAGGATCACTCGCTCGGTTCAGCAGCTTCTTGATGGCAGTGTTTCCTGACTATCCAAGCCCACGGGACCCCCGTGGCTTGTTCAGGGTCCTACCCCTTAATGACTGCTAACGGGAAGAGGGACCTAGCTAGACACCTGCAGATTTTAAACAAGAATCCAAGGTGAGTTTAATGATAAGTGTATGAAACCTGGAAACATAGATTTCCAAACAAATGAGACAATAAAAAATGTCTGAAAAGGAGTAACTTCTGAAATCAAATCTACATCAGCCCGGACACACACTGCAGGCAAATGGCCATTGTGAGGACTTCCACCTGCATTTGGAGTGAGGCCAGGAGGAACTGGGGGCCTGAGAGTGAGGGGTTGTCTGATTTATGCCTCAAAGCATTGCTCTGACTGCTGCGTGACCACTCGGCTGGGGGGAGCCACAGCTGAGCACAAGAGTAGACAGGCAGCGCCTAGATCATTCATTTTTTTTTGAGTCTCACTATCATCCAGGTGGAGTGCAGTGGCGGGAGTCTCAGCTTACTGCAACCTCTGCTTCCCAGGTTCAAGCAATTCTTCTGCCTCAGCCTCCCAAGTAGGTGGGACTACAGGCATGCACCATCATGCTCAGCTGATTTTTTTTTTGTATTATTAGTAGAGATGGGTTTCACCATATTGGCCAGGCTGGTCTTGAACTCCTGACCTCGTGATCCGCCCACCTCAGTCTCCCAAAGTGCCGGGATTACAGGCGAGAGCCATCGTGCCCACCTAGATCGCTCATTTTGAGTGGGTATTCGAGTGCGGTCAGAGTGACCATGTGGGGGAGTTAGGAAGGCGCATCTACTTTGATGGTAGAACCCCAGACTTGCTGAGGAATTGGACACGCAGTGTAACAGGAAGAGACTCAGAATGACTTTGAGTGTTGGGACCTGACAACTCGAAGGACAGAGCTGCCATCAACAAAAGGGAGAAGATGGCAGCTGGCACAGGTTTCGGAAAGAGGGGTAATATGCACTGAATTGGGGTGTGTTGAGCTTGACGTGCCCACCACACATCTTCTGGCAGATGCTGAACCAGGAGGGGCTCGCAGGAGCAGTGTGGGCTGGAGCTAGAAGCTTCGGAGTGGCCGGAGTCTAGACAGCTGTGCTGGATTAACTAGTGTCCCCGCAAAACTCACGACCACCTGGAACCTCAGAATGTGGCCTTATTTGGAAGTAGAGATTAAATCCAGATTTAATCGAGGATCTTGAAGTGAAATCCCACCCTGCATTTCGGGTGGACACTAAATCCAACCAACAGTATCTTTATGAGAGAATGGCAGAGGGAGGTCTGAGACAGACACACTGAGAAGGCCACTGGAAGACAGGCGGGGACAGGAGCAGTGTGGCCAACAAGACATGGAATGGAACGGGGAGCACAGGAGCTGGAAGAGGCCTGGAAGGCTTCCCAAGAACCCAGGAGCCCAGGCCTGCCTACACTTTCATTCCAGACTTCTGGCCTTCAGGACTGCAGGAAAATTAATTTCTGTTGTTTGAAAGTCCCCTGGCAGCCCCAGGAAATGAATACAGTGCTTTCAATGGAATCACTTAGATCTAGTGCGGAGAAAGAAGAGGTTGAAATACTGAGCTCCAGGACACTGCGAGGTTTATGGATTTGGGGAGCTGGCTGCTGATGGGGAAGGAAAAGCAGAGAACAGCATCCCAGAAGCCCAAGGAGGAAAACGTGCCGTGGAGGTGCGGTGCGAGAGACCCGAAGCAGCAGACCCCGCTGGCGGGCACCTAGGAAGATGCTGAGACATGGGTGCCCTTTGGACGCAGCGTCCTGAGGGTCACTGCTGACTTGCGCTGCTGGGGTCGGGTGGTGGAGAGAAGGCGGGTGGGGGAGAACTGGGGAAACTGAGCACCGTCCTGCAAGTGCTTTCGTTGTCAAGGGGAGAAGGCGCCTGGAGGCCAAGGCAGCTGGAGAGGGCTGTAGGGGAAAGAGAAGGCTCTACTCTGATTCCTATGGAAGGCGCAGAACTGAGGGAAAACGCCAGTGCGGAATTTCTAGAACAACGTTTTGAAACAGCAAGAGAGCACAGGACGGGGTGCCTGTGGGGGCGCTTGGCCGGGGGCTTCTCCCATCTCAGGGAAAAAGACAGCAGGGAATCCACTGAGAGAGAGAGGCGAGCAGGGGGAGGTGTGTGGGAAGGGAAAGGGACGGTGGGACCCTTTCTAGCAGGCAGTGAGAGGGAGTGGACTGGGCACACGTCGGGCTTTGGGAGGCTCCTCAGCCTGGTTCTCTTGAACTGGAAATGCAGAAAGCTGCTGGGTGTTGGTCACAGTCCGTAGTGTGGACGTCGGGGCAAAACAGGTGAAGGGTCGGACTTCCATAGGGCTGGGATTTTACCAGGTGCATATGACACGGGGGAGGGGCGATGAGTGCCTCCAAGCTAGGGGAGGAGAGAAGCAGGAGTTGGGTAGGGACAGGCAGGTTCCAGGGATGGCAAGTGCTGGCGCACGGAGGCTGCAGGGGCAGGGGCACTGGAGGGTGA